TACTTAATCATATGGAACATACTTTAGGAACAAGTAAACTCAGCTCCAATTGTAATATCCTCTATATCTACACATTCTAATAAAGCCAATAACTTTAATCACAAATAATACTCTACATACCTTTACCCGACTCAGCCTTTTGATTGTTCCCTTTCGGGACTTCTTTCTTGTTCTTTGGGTAATAGTTCTCATAATCTACAAAATCAAAACACAACAATCAGAATCCATCACCATAATTTAAATAAACCAAAAATAAACAGCGCGTAAGTTATCATCCTCACTACTTTTCTTTGACCCTTGGCTGCAAAAAAACCTCCTGAGTCTCGGGTTTGCACAAAGTTTATCAATTTCAGACAAATAGGCCCTTTGCAAAGCCGCCTTGCTGACACCATGCTTTCCAGCTCCAATGGATGTCAAATAACTTCTCACAAAACCTAGTCCACCATTAGCGCGTGTAATGCACGCATTACTTGATGCTACTTCGTCCAAAATCGCATACCTCACACCAGAAATCAATGCCTGCGCTCCATGAAAAAGAAAAACCGATCATATTAACCCAAAAAATCAGAAAAAAATAATACATATCCGTATAAATAATACTCCACTTACTTTATTGATCGTCGAGCGACAGCGATTAATACGTGAAAGAATCATCTTATGAGGATCCAAACATGAGAATTATCAAATCTCTAAAATTGCTACAGAGAAGTTAATTTTTTTTTCAATCAATTTCAGGTAGCTAAGTTTGAAAAAGGAAAATCAAAGAAGAAGAGAAAGAGGGAGTGGAAGAACAAATTAGAGAAAACCGACTCGGACTCTATTACTTGGTCGATTATGGACCGGTCATTTATCAATGGGCTTTCTGTTCCTCAGGGCCCGTTTAAACATATTTATTAATTATTACTATTAATTTTAAATTTATTTATTTATTTATTTTAGCTATTTAATTTATTTTGATACATGTTTATTTGAGTTTCAAATTTTGTTTTAAAATATAATTGAGATTTTTCAAGTCATAAAATTATTCAAATTTCTTCCCTTCTTAAATAGTTTTGCCATACGAGCTCTTGTATATAGTCATTTCAATATTATTCGAACACATAATTTATTCACATTGAATATGAGTTTTTTCTAATTTAAAATTATAAGTTATTTTATTTTATTTGTAAAAATATAAATTAATAACTTATGTTTTGTACTTAAAATTATATTTTTTTTATTTTTGCAAAATTTAAAATATTAAACTTAAACTTTACTCGCATATTATATTATAAATAAATCAACTATTTATTTTAAACCAAATGCCTACTTTTATTTTATATATGATGTATAAACAAGACTTTACTTTTCATTTGTATGCTAACAAGATTGGGGTCAACCCTTACCTTCTTCTCCAAGCAAATGAAGAATCTTCATTAAAAGAAATATATATATATGAAGGAAAAAAGGGCACATGGAAAAGAAAATGAAAAAATTGAAGACTTCTTCCTCTTTTTACTAGTTAAATGTATGTGCTTTAAATGTGTATATTGCATTAATAAATAGTGAAAAGAAAATTATAATTTTTTAAGAGTAATAAACATAATTAGTAATTTGGTAAAGGTAATAAGTAATAATTAATGTACTGTCACGAATTAACATTTAATGATCTTTTAGATGGTTGTTTAGTAATTCAAGTAAATCGACAAAAAAAAAATACATAAATTGATTGTGTTATCAATCTAAAATATTGTTTCAACGTTATATGCAGCTAAAGTTTTATGGCAGTGGCATGACTAATTCTAGAATAAAAAATGTGAATGAAAGACAATTTTATATGCATTTTAAGTAAGAAAACATTTTTAAAATATATGAAAAAGAGGAGGTATAGTTTCACCTGAACATGTTCTGATACATGTGTTTTTAGGGGTATTTGGCTTGGATTTTTTTAAAAGAAGTTAAAATATAAAACCTGATGTCTTTCAATTTAGGGACTGAAAATTTACAGATGATTTATCTTTCCATTAGTTTTAATATTAAAATAAATAACGTCAATTATTACCGTACAAAGCGTGATCAATTTGCCTCGTTTCTTTTAAAATTAAAAATTTGAAACATTGTTTAATTCCTTCACGTATTTATTGTATATATAGAACTTTTGGTTAATCCATATATGTTTTGCTTACTATATTATGTCATACATTGAACAAAATAAATTATATGTATTTGATACTCGGAAATATTTGGATGGGTGCTACTATTTCATACAAATTTTGTAATGAGTTTTAAAAATGTACACGTGTCATGCATTTCTCATTTCTCCCGATTAATAGTTTTATCGTGTTTCAATAGTAATTTATTTTATTTATTGTTCACAAGAATTCAATACAAACTATTTGTAGAGATATACAACGATCATGGCCTCCTTATTTATATATACAACGATCATGGCCTCCAAACATCAACTAGCTTGACCCTCTTACTAACTGCCTTTGGCCATAAAAAAGTTCACTTCACGCTCAACTTAAAGTTTAATTCAAAAATTTGTAAAACAACAAGAAGAAAGAAAAAAAGAAGAAAAATTACTTAGAAAAAATGAAAAACAATTTCAATGTGTATTTGTCACCAAATATATATAATCCAATTTTCAAATGCCATTTTTTATTTTTTATTTTAAAAAAAACAACTCAAATATGGTCAAACACCTCCAAAGAATCAAAGCCAAATAGTTAAATCAGATGTAATTGACGAGTCTCCTAATTTTTTTGCTATATATCTCGATTAAAATAACTTACCGATCAAATTATAATTACTATCATCTTAAATATTAATCGTTTTTTGTTAAAAACATTTTATCCTAATATATAAATTTAATTGAGCCCTTAGATAGTGAAACTTTTTACCTATTTTGCAACTGTATTGAAGAAACGGTGTAACGTGGACCACGTCTAAACAAAAGCATTACACAGACGAAGCCAACTCTCCCACGTTTGATGCTTTGTTTCACTTCACATTTTATCACAATATACACACACCCCACGTTCTCTCAATCTTGAAAAAAAAAAGAGTATAAATACTAGTAGTATAGTATAGTTGAATATTATTGTAAGTGCATGCATAAAACATATATGGAAAGTCAAATTATTACTACTAATAATCCTAAAAAAATTGAGAATATGGAGGAAGAATGTACGACGCCAAGGAATCAAGAATGTCGATTACAAGCGCCGGTAGAGTGTCCACCAGCACCAAAGAAAAAAAGAGAATGTCGAAAGAGGGAGATACCAAAAAATGGTTATTTTCGACCATCTGATCTTGATTCTATTTTGGATAACGTGACTGCTTCAACTAGGTAGTGATCTATTCCACTTTGGGATTCTAATGATGACGGAAGCCTAGCCTCTATCTTGAAGGATTGTGTGATTATATATATTCTTCTAAGTGGTTTAGCTCTTTATATTACCTTCTTGTTCTCTTTTATCATGTGGATGTTGTTTTAGATTAATTAGGAATTTAGGTTGAATGTATTTGCTATATTTATTAAGTTGTCTTTTTGTGCTTTGTGCATGAAAATTAAATTTTTTTTTTTTTATATGGTCCCCATTCCGCTTTTGAAAATTTGTGTTTGCTTTTGAAATGGTCCCATTGCGTTACATCAACGCTTGTTAGACCTCTCCTCAAATTTGTTTATGTTTATGATGAGTTAATTAATTTCAAATCGACTTATTGGTTTAGTTCGAGAAAATATTTTGCTTTCACTTTTTAATTTTATTTTTGGACAGGTAAATAGGTTTTTAAATATCTTTGAAATAAATACATATTTATAGTTTGATTCAATTATTTGGTTTTTAAGAAATTAAATGGAGTACTTTTTTTTTCCTTCAATTAAAAAGAGAATCATCTTTTACCAACTTTTTAACTTTTATCATCCTTTTATTTTAATGATCATAATTTTTTTAGATTATCAAAAAAAAATGTCTTTGTTAATAGTTATAAGTCATAATTAAGTCAATAAAATTTCCATGAAATTTTTTTGATGAAAATTGCATACTTGTTTCGTTAAAAGATTAGGTCGGCCAAATGCAAAAAAAAAAGGTCGTTTGGTGTATTTGACAGAGGGTGAATAACTTATTTCGAGTAATTAATTTTGGAATATATATTTCGTTTCAAATGATCTCTAAGTTACATTTTAAATATTCTTTTTCGGATCAATCCAAAAGATTTACAATATAACTTGTGTTGATACAATACACCTCTTAAAATAATTAATTAAAAATATATTTTACCTAATTAATCTTACTATGATATATTTGAAATTTTGAATTTAATTATTACTACTTTATATAATTATTTAATATAATTAAATCCTCCTAATTTGTTAGTAGTTTCCCCCTTATCTACGGGGAAAGGTTCACATTTATAATTGTCATCAAGTCGAGTTCCCTCAAAAGCAAGTGATCTACTTTTTCATATCTATTTTCAAGAAATATCTTTTTGTTTTATTTGGCAATTTTTTAAGAACATGTTTGGATTAATTTTTAATTTTTGGCTTATTTTATATTTCAACTCAAAATCAAGTCCTTATAAACATTTTAAAATTTATTTAAATCCTCTTTAAAATTAACTTTTTAAAAGTATTTTAAGTTAAAATCATTTTTAAGCGATTTGGTAGTATTTAGGTCAAAATAAAAAGTGCTTATTTTCAAGTCGAAACAAGTCATAGAAATTTGACTAATATAATTATAGTTTTTCATTAATATTAATATGAAAAAATTGTAGTCATATTTCTCTTTTAATTGTTTTATAGTCAAATGATATAAATTTTGATTAATATTTTAAATTTTACACGAAAAAAATAATTTATTAAATCCCGAGAGCAGTTATCCGCTCAATTAAATTAAAAAAAAAAACCTCGAGTTTAGATGGTAAAGAAGAAAGTAGTATTTTTCGAGGTGTACTGCAAGATAATTTAGTCACATTTCTGAGGAAGCTAAGAAAATTGATTCTAAAAAGATGATGAATTATGCAAGCAAAAGCCTCTGTACAATAATACCAATCAAGGTAGTTAAATTACCAAATTTGTTTCTGTTGTTACAATGGAGGGCTGTAGGACAACATAGCAAATAATAATAACTACATAAACAAGCCATTGAAACCAATTATTAACTACATACACAAGCCAGCCTTTCGAACTGGATCAGTGGTTTCTTCTTACAGCATAAGCATGGAAAAGTACTGCTCAAACTCCTTATCAATGGTTAGTTTTGTGGAACTTGGCTGTGAATCTGCATAAAAAAAAAGAACATTCTAAGGAAGCCAAATAACCACCTTCTCCAATAGGAACATGCATGGATAGATCAAAGGCATGCAACCAACGGTGCAGAGTGTTTATCCATTTTCGGCTGATTATGAAAGGTGAAAATGATGAGATAACTACAACTTGTACTGTTCAACAACAACAATATAATACCACAAAGTGGGTGTCTGAGGAAGATAGAGTTTACAGAGACCTTACCCCTACCTCAGAGGCAGAGGCAGAGAGGACCGGCTCAAAGGAAAAATAGTCCAAAGCAGTAACAAAAAGGAGTAACTGAAGTACACAGCAAATTATTTACTAAAAGACAATATGATACTCCAAGTACAAGAAAATCAAAGGACAAGGAACTACTAGTATGGATGAATAACAAGACAACACACTTCCATTTATTCCACAATTTTGGACAGCTCAAAGACCAAATATTTAAGAATCTCTATCTGCCTCACAATTCTCATAAGAAAAAGAGGAAAAGAGAAAGTGGAAGCTAAGTTACCTTGGTTAACAGTCCATCTTCCAGATGAAAGAACATAATTGTTAGGATTCACATTGGCATTAAGCAAGTTTTCAACTTCTTTTTCTGTTGCGAGCTCAATGCCCTCAGTCCTGCATTCTGCGCAAGTGCAATCCTCATGATTCCCCAATCCCAACAAGTGCTCCTCATAATCCATTGACGGGTCGCATCCGGAACCGTGATGTAGAGTACCCCATACTCTGCCGGTAGGGGATTGCTCCGGCCTATCAGGCATTAATTTTGTCACTGATCTGCTCTCCAAAGAATAAAGGTTGCCCCACAAATTAACAGATGAAGTTGAAGCGTGATCAGATGAACATGCTTTCAGACATCCAGGATCAAGTTTAGCCTCATGAGACGTGACAGAATCAGCATCTTCACAAAAGCTATTGCTGCCATTCTCAGATTCTAGTTCTATATCATCATCTTGGCCCCTTGCAGCATTTTCTACTATAATCATGCATGCCGAAGATTCTTTAGCTGCTGTGCCAGTATGTGAAGAAGTACATTCAGCAGAGCTCTGATATGAGCACACATGCTTAGGTAGCGGCATTCCCAATTGTTCAGCTTGAAACTTCCTTTTCTTGTTAAAGTAAGCAAGGCTGGTAGGCAGTAACTTGCTCATATCAACACTGATACATGTAAGCGTACAGAAACTTAGATCACATTACTTCATCTTTTACAGTAATGCAGCATATGCTAACCACTTGTTCTAGGAATAGGTAAAAAATCTACATCAGAAATTATACCTCTCAAATCATAACAGTTATCTTTCAAGCATTTGATGAAGAAAAGGGGAATTTTACTGACAAATCTACACAGGCTGAAACTAGGTTCTGGAAGAGCTACTATACACATTCCCCATTTCCCATTGCGACGTCCTTAATGCACTTTCTTGTTCTTCTCTGTGTTACTGAGTATACCCAATGAGTTCAAAAACTAAAGATCCAAACTTGGTGGACTCCGTTTCTCAAATTAAGAGTGGTCGCACTTGATAAACATGTCCCTTTATTTCTTCATTGGAAATGAGCTATCTTGGTAATACAGGACGAATCAAACTCCCTCCACCCTTAACAGAGGTCTCGGGTTCAAGCCTAGGAATGGAACAATTCCCATCAAATGATTCATACACAAATCTAGATAAATTAGCCCAATGGGTTGTGATAACTAAGGCGAAAACCAGAAAAGTGAGACATACTATAGTCTCCTCACTTAAATGCAGATCAAACCAACAAATTGAAACATACAAACACACACATAAAATTGATGATCCATCCTGTCCCAGCTTACAGTGTGACTCAAATCATAATACTTTTCTTTCTAATAGTAATTAAAATAAATGATATGACACCTGAGCCTACATCCTTTTAACTCAAACCACAAAACTAGCTCGTTAGTACATATGCTTAAATCACCCGGTCCATTTCCCAATTACAGGGCAACAAGAAAAGGAGATCCATCAAGAGATATCAACTAGTTGACCAACTTGAAATAAACCAACTTTACTAAAACCCAAGTAGCATTAAACTAACAAGTAGATATCACAAAAAAGGAAATTGAATGAACAACAGATCTAGATTGAAAACCAAAAAAACCTGTTGATATGAGCACAGATATGCATATTTTGGTCATCCTCCATATTTTTTTTGCAGGTAAAAAGAAATGGAAGAAATTTAGGTGTACGGATGATTATGAACCATTGGAGAAATGAAGAAATTATAGATGGGGGTGAGGGTGACAGACACTACCCATGACTATAGTATATTATAAAGTTGGAAACTTATTATTATTTCATTATATCTGCATAAATTTAGGTGCATGAACTTATTTAAATATATCTAAATTAATTGAGCATGGTCTTTTTAAAAAAAATTTATAGTAAATTATAGATATTTGGGGGATCCCAATAACAAATATATATGAGTAGTTTGGTATGACGTATAATGTAAAATAATTTTAAGATAAAATATAAAATTATTATTTTTTTGTATTTGGTGGATATAAGGTAATTTTTAGATTATTTATCTCATTATTTATACTATATTAATGGAATAAATTACTTTATATATTAATTATAAGATAAGTTATTTCGAAATAACTTATTTTTCATAATTTTTAAGAAAATAAAAAAAAAAGTTATTATGGTTATTGTACTAGGCCTTACTAGTACAATAATCTATCACTATCAAAATTATGAAATTTTACTACTCGAGTTTGAGGCACACTTTCTTTGACTTAATTAGAACAACAATTTTAAGTTTCTTCTTATTAAAAGGGGTTCAATTCTACTTCCAATTAGTTTCACTTTAATTTTGCTATTTGACTTTATTAAAATAAGATTGTATATATTCTTTTTAGTCGTAAGAAATTAAGCAATTTTCTTTGAAGGATTTCTTTTTCCTCTCCAATTAATGGAAAAAACGTGCGCGTGTTTGGCACGGCGTAATTAGGCATGTGGGGAAATTTGTCTACTAGCTGACTAGGAAAAGGAGCATGGAGTCCACGAGGGATTACGGTAGATGTTCCCCCTTATCCTTTGGCACCTACTTGATAGTCACATGTTTTGTATTCGGTGTCTAAGTTTCATTAATTTGAACTTTTTACTATAGAGATTTCTAATTAAAAGTGATAATCTTTAACTCAATCCATTAGAATTTATATTCATATATTATAAACAACGCTTTATTAAATTTTTGAGCTCAAATTTATAATAATCTCAATGCAACTTTTGGCGGTATCTTTAGTAGTATCTTCATAAAGTTGCAATTTTTGCACTTTAAAGAGGACTGGTCTTTGATGTCTTCCATATCTTTATTTTTATTCTTTACAAATCAATCTTATACCCAGGGAAAAGCATAAAATTTTTCAGTTATATTCTATTATAACTTGTTGGATATTAATGGAAAAATAAAATGTTTGTTATGATGACAAAAATTAAAGACAGCACTGAAGTCCAAATGACCCTCAACAATTCCCCTGAGCTTGTTCAATTATCGTTTTCCGTGAGTAGCCAGTTGAGTTTCTTGGTCTCAGTCTCGTATGCATATACATGTGATGCAGCCCAACAATGTTTTGCGCTCACCAACCATCGTTAAGCAACAAACATATAGAAGGAATAATTCATTTTATTTTTTGAAGATAGACAGAAGGAATATCTTAATTACAAGTCTCAAATTTGAACAATAAAAATATAAAAATGTTTCCTTGGTAGGCTGGGCTTAAATGAATTTGGATTAATTATCAAATACAAGATAGTTGAGGAAAAAAAAATCTTAAACACCGCCCTTCGCCAAACCTATTTAACCCTTGACAAGATTGAAAAACTTTGAATTAACTTTCACCCTAAGTTGCTATGATTTGTTTCAAGAAAAAGGATTCACCAATGGCCTGTCATTTTGTCAACATTACCAATGATGCTGGAAGAAGGAAGACAGCTGTTTGAGCTACATGCAAGTTCTTTTCTATTTTACATGGTGTATGCTAGCTTTGTAATCCCAACTATGAACAATGGGAACTATCAACTCTCTTCTATTGACAACCTCTTCGATAACTCTCGTTACCTTTTTGTTAGTGTCTCAGACTGGAGATCTCTGAAATGACAGAAAACAAAAAATTGAAAAATCACCTCCATGTTGTTAATCTTGGCTGATGGCAAGCAGCTGACACTGTCAAGCTTGCTACTTCCAAAGCAGAACAAGGCTTCCTCTGCTTCTTTGGCAACTAAAACATTGCCATCTTGTCACAGGGTGTTTCAGTAACATGTTTATCTTGATGTCGAGGAAAAGCCCTCAAATGGTGTCCGATATCGAAGGCCAGAACCTATATGCCTTGTTGTGGGGCACGCCCAGCAACATACATTTGGGCCTAGAACCTGCATTCCCAGGCAAACCAATAAAAATGATTAAACCAAAGAAGTCGGAAAATCAAGACAAAAGAATTATGGACCAAGGAAAAGTAAGTTGATGATAGCATATAGAGAAAGAAGAATGATTACTTACTGATATCAAATTCTCATATGCACCAAGATCATATGGATGTGAATGCACATGACCTCCCTTTTCAGCCAGCCACATAGCTCTGACACCTTCTTGGTACTATTAGGCACTAATCAGTTATAACTTGAAAATAATCGAATAAAGTAGCATATATTCAGGTAGACAGACCTCAATGGTTGTCTTGTTTTGCAAAATCAGGTGCACATGCCAACCCAAAAAAAAACCCAGTACCAAGCTTAGTGGGACCAGTAGAAGCCCTGAAAGAATCTGCTAAAAGGAACAATATCTGAGCAAATGGATGAACGAAATAGTACTGAGAACAAAACTAGTTCATGAGAAATTACATATACTGTTCTGTAAGAACCTTCACTTTGCTGGTCGTGCTTTGGAGAATCAATAGTTATGCTACCAACAAGCAGAACCTGAAGAAACAAAAGTAGCAAGTGTTGAAGGGTCGCGAGCAAACACAAAGATACTTAAATTTTTGTAGGTTATGTTGATCAATCAAATTTCATCATAAGCACCAAATTAGAAATACGAATATAAAGGAAGAAAGGATACAGGCATAGCATACCAAGATCATATACAGCCTCTAAAAGGCGTCAAAATGTCAGCTTCTTACCAGGGAATATATGCAAGCAATAACTGCGTATAAAACGAAGATGAAGAAGATCTTGTAGTTTGCATGGCCCACACAATTATTCATCCACACACAATGATGATCCTTGTATTCAAGAGGCAAATGATTTAGTATATTATCAAGGATATCAAGATAATAACATAAAAGTAAACATAGAGGCACACCATTCGCAGTACACATCTATTACATACACGACAATGATGGGCACGTGGAGGCTTATAAAGGGAACACTTCTGGCAGTATCTCATATCCCCACCCTGCAAAGTAATTCAACAGAAAAGAAATCACATCAAAGGACTCCACAATTAAATTTGACAGAACTTTTACTTCTAGTGTTAGTTTTAGGGATAAGGACCAAATTGATATCTTTTTACATACATCAAGTACTAGTTCGATAAGATGGTATATATGAAGGACAAAAACAATTCAAACCCTATGCATCAAGGCTATGTTGCTCGGACTCTTCAGAAACGTCGACGGCTGCGTGTCGGATCCTCCAAAAGTAAAGCATTTTTGGAAGATCCGACACGGGTGTGGTAGCAATTTTGGAGAGTCCGAGCAACTTAGCCTTAAGGACGATTTTGGTCATTTTCTCAAGGTAGTTAATAGTTTGGTTTGAGAATGAGAAACAACATTCTTCAATTCAAATAGATATAAAATGTTCATACCTATTATACTAATTTTGACACACTTCCAGATTATACTTCTATGGGTTCTTTCAAGTTTATCATTTTTTGGATTATCTTTTTTTCAAAAAAAAAAATGTTCACTCAACTTGCCTGCCAGTTGAATACCAGTAAAAACACTACCCAGGAAATGCCATTCCTGGATCAATAATCTTTAGAGTGTTGAAAGACCAGTCTCTCAACCTTAAGTTTGCACTAAGAGAGAAATTACTACGTGACAAAGGCAAAGACCAGATTAAAGAATGTATGACTTTCAATGGGGAGGAAATAGTAAGACATTCCGGTTTCATGTTTATAGAGGTGGAGCGACAACATTACCAAGCAGGGAAAATAGTTATGAAGGTTCATCAATAAGTTTGATAAGGAGGATAGACTGCACAGATCTGTTGTAGCAATGAGTAAAGGAGTAGAAGACGGTCAATGCAAGTCAAGACTTGTGGCAAATTCTAAGGGGTTGAGTTTGTGGAAACCAACTGAGGGCTTTGAAATCACATCAAATTTGAAAATTAATGATGGTACTTGGTAGAAGAATCAAATTCTGGTCACTATAGCAAAAGAAGTGTACATTGAAGGAAATTTTTCTAAACAATTTAATGTGCTTGCTGCAGAGTTAGAAATTGAGCTGAATGGACCATCCCTTTTTCTTGGGATGAAGATTGAGAAGGGAACTTTCTGAACAAGGGCATACTTAGGAGTTGACGCCACTATTAAAAGGTTATGATTTTTGTGGCCAGATTATAGGCTCTATTTACGAGTAGGGAAGAAAAGGGGTTATTTCTCTGCTAAGTCTCTCTACTCATTATAGTTGCGACAACTAAGTTTTTAAAGCACCTCAATATTACATTGTACTTCCATTGGCAGTGCATGCCACATTAGAGTACCTATTCAAAACAATCTCCATACAAGGGCAGGGGGACAGTGTTGGGTAATAGGTGACTTCTGCATGAAACTAAAAACATCTTCTTCTTTTTGCAGCATCAAGTAACAAAGGAGGTTTAGAACAGTTTGTTTCTTTTGCAATGGATTGGATTTTCTCGATATTGACAATGAAATGCTTATCTAAAGAGGCAAAGACTTTAAAAGAAGAAAGTTTTGGGATAGAGCACAGTTAAAGGGGTTCCAACCTCGAATTCCATAAGTACAAAAGAATAATCCTCCGTGTTTTCATTCAGCTCACAGAGGGACGAAATCACTGTATACAGTTAACAGATATTGAAGTATCAACGTTCTGCCAGTCCACCTAAGACCTTTGCCCATAATCAAGCATTACAAGAGCAAGTATTTGAAAGGAAGATTTTCCAATAATTGACTTCATCCAGTATGACAAAAGCATCCAACAGAATAATTTTAACAGTAAATTCATTATCCTCAGGGTTTTGCTTGACTTGCTCACTTGTCATGCTAGGTGACATATTTGTTATTATAAACTCCACATGATCATATCATTATAATAACCTAGAAATAATTTCTTCCTGTATCTGCTACAGATGTTAATGCCATATTTCATAACTGGTGTACTCCATTAATATAAAACCAAAACTCCATTTCAGCAGAAGCACAAGCCACAACTTGAATCTAGTTCAATGTGTTATTAACTAGTTCACACACTCTAGCCTCTACCTCCTTAAAAAAAAAAAGCAGCTCTGTGCACTAAGCAGCATAATACAAGTAGAATATACGACATTAAAGTAAATTGTTAAGGTAAGAAACGAACAAAACCTTTCGCTTGATCTCTTGAACCGTATTCTCCGGGTCTTCGACATCGGGTATGAATGAGCTAGGAACACGACCCGGATCAGTGTATATTGCAAGTGGGTAACTCAAAATGCAGAAGAGAGCAACGACGGAAAACAGGATGGCGTTAAGTATACCGGGAGACGACCAAAGTCCCAACCACTGATCAATGAATACAAATACAGTGGAGAAGTAAATGTAAGCAATTGCCGCAGAGACGAGGGTGACGTGGAAGGAGAATCTGCAGCCACGTGTTGCTTTCATCTCCGCTTTTCACTTGCCGGAGTGGTGGCTGGGAGAAGAGGATACAGACGGCGTCGCCGGCGAGGTTGGAGGGGGAAATGGAAAATGAATTTACAGGTTGGATCTAACGCAAAATTGGAGCGGTGTTTGGTTTTATAGACTTACAACTTAGATAACTATATTTAACTTCCTAGCCAAATATAATTGTACCCAATTATATATATATATATATATTTGGGTAAAATTATTTAACTCGACGTAAAATATTAGTTTCATTCATAAACTATTGATAATCTTAAAAGTATTTTTTTACTTGACTAGTTAAAATTAAGCATATCTCCTAGATTATTGTCAAGTTTAGGATATTTTTCACACTTCTCTTGAATTTTTACTAAGAATCTTACACTGTTATAAGAGTTTGAAACCACTTGTTACGTTCGGTCTGTATCTAAACTTAGTTAACTAGTAAAAAACTATTTTTAATCTATTATCAATAGTTCAAACAGAAAACTAGTAATTTGCACATATTATAAGTTTTGTTTTCAGTACTTTTGTCACATCCTAATGATCCTCTCTCAAAATCCTAATGATCCTAATTACTATTCACTTTGTCCCAATTAATACAATATATTTCATTTTTCGAGAGTTCAAAAATTTAAATTTGATCAAAAATTTGCACATAAAATTTTTGGTTAATTGATGCTAACTCTGTCTGTGTATATTTATATGTCGTACATATTACAATGTATTTAGAACATATTTGCAGGAATAAAATGTTAATAAGATACGAAAAATCTAAATAATTAACTTTGAAACTTGTGAGATTTACATAAGTTTCCTCTTTTTAATTTAGAATTAAATAAACTTTACTTATATTTTAATCCGAATAGGCTCTTACTTATTTAATGAATGTCTGTTAATTATTTATTAGAAGGGTTTGATTACAAAATATTCTTTCTTTTTCTATTTTTGAATTGACATAATTATCAGTAAATTTAATTAAAAATATGTCAAAGCAAATTTGAAGAAACTTTTCTTCTTCTTAATTTTGAAAACATAAACAGACCAAGTTTTCGTGGCTCGAATATTAATTTCCAAACACATTTTTTTATAAAATCATGATCCAATCAATTCAATATTTGCTTATCTAACTTGATTATGTAAAAATGACTGAATTACAATATTTCAAGTAAAGTTTGCTATTAAAAAAGAAACGTACAAATTAACGAGCAATTTTTACTCATGAACGGCAAATAGAATAGTCATCGACCTTAATTCATCTAAAATTTTTGTATCATTTGATTTATTAATTTATTATTTGGTTGTTCTTTTTCTAATTGATACCAAATAAATTATTTTGGACTTTTGGCCGATGCAAGGTTCCGAACATATATCTAAATCACCAACTGGCGCAGCAGTAGGCGACAACTTTATCAAGGCATGTTATTCAAACTCCATAAATATTGATTTCATACTGAGGCCAACATTGTTTGATAGAAATTAATTGGAGTTCAACTGTATTACTTTAATAACTTGCAAATACGAAGGAGCTACAAGTTCCATAGGTAGGTACTTATGGAAGCATATGGTGTATAATAATATTATGTGATGATGTTTACTTGTCTACTTGGTTGAGTTTGCCAAGACCATTGCAATTTGCACAAACAATCTGAACTTCATCTTTTCTAGCTGCATTCGCTTTCAAAGCTGCCGCCCCTCCTTTCCTCACAAATCCTGCCCCATCACATTCTGGACACCTATTATTATTACAAATTCAGAAATTCACATATAACTTTGCATTGATAAATCGCAAAAAGGGAAAAATGAAGTTAGTACAGACAGGTCTTTGCGAGAAAAGAGTATAGGGAAAGCAGTTCCGACTAATGCTACAGCAGCAGCACCAGCAATTAAGTAAACTGTTCCATCGGATGAAACATCTCCAATGGCGGCCACCACTTTCAACGATCTCTGTTTTTTGTTTTTATGAGTTACAGGGGATTTTGTACCAACAATAGTTGATGGAATTACAAGGGATTTCTTCACTGAAAATTGCACACAAGCTATAGAGGAGGAGGCCATGGTGAAAAGATGTTATATGTTTCTTGGATGTGAGATGATAAGATATGGTGTAGTATAAATCAAGTGAGAGATTGATTTGCTGTTGCTGCCACATGTGAGAAAAATTGGATAAGGAATCCACATCAGACTCAAGGATAAGTGGGCTCACTATTAAACGTCTTGTATTCAATTTTTTTCACTAATATGTCGTATTATCCTTAAATGTGGTAACATTCAATATAGATATCGAACGGGAAAAGGATAAGTGGGGTCCCAAAGTTCCAGATTTTCGCTGTCCAACCAGTTTTTCTGTGTTATTTTTTGTTTGGGTTGGTCGTTACTCTTGTACAATTCTCTTCTTAACTTATCCATCTTTTTGGATAATTTCTTTTATTTTCTCAAAATAGTTTTACTATAATTTTTTTTGACGAGAGCTCTCTTCGAATTGGTTAAAAAATTGATGTAAAGTTGTGACAGAATCGGTACATAGGATATTACTAAATTATGATACTTAACTCCGTTTCACAAGAATGATCTGGTTTGACTTGATACGAAATTTAAGCACATTCCCCGCTACTAGAGCCCAGTTAGAATAGTCAACCGTGATCGTCAGGCAAATAGCAGCAGGGGCGTTCCCACACTCTGGGTGCTCGAGTACTCAATGATCGATATGTTAGGACCGTAAGTAAGCAGGTGTAATGCGGAAGCTAGCAATGCAAACCTCGAAATACTACGAGTAGAATGAAGACAACGAGAAATATACCAAAAGACACAAAGATTTAACGTGGTTCGATCAATCAACCTACGTCCACAAAGGAGATGAGCAATCCCACTATAAGTATGAGAATACAAAACTTAATCAATTCACTCGAAATACATAGGATATTCACACCAATGATAACATATCAAGTTTGTGATTGCTGATGAAGTTAGAAGAAACATTCTTGTATTTATAAAATTAATCAATCCAAAAGTTTTCCTACAAAAAAAATTAGTCAATCAAAAACTTTTTCTTCTTAAAAGAAAAACCTAAAGAATTACGGCAAATAAAAATCAACATGATAAACTGGATTTGATTTTCATTTTTAACATGTCTTTTTTTCCAGAATGTTTTCAATCTTAAAATTTTAGAACTACCAACCTTAGAGTGCTGCCGCACTTCGAATGATGTGAGTGACAAAAAATTGTATACACCTAACAAAAAATGTACAACGATTCTTGGTAATCCGCCTAGTAAGACTTTAGGATTATTGAATATTCTAACATATTGGATTTTGACAACTTATCAAACTTCTATAATTTGTCTTTAGGGGGCTAGTGGCGTTGGTGGTGCACCTTGCTAGCCATGCTAAAGTAGTTGTAGTACTTAGTAGCTAAACATAAAAAAGACTAAATTGAAAGGAGGGGGATATAATCAATAATCATATTTTGGGAAACGACATGTTCATTTACGACTTGACTTTTCAGAATTGTTATTGCATTCGTGTTGGACATGCAATTGGGTAAGTTTTAGCCCTAAACTCAAGTAGCAAAGCCATGACATTCTCTAATATTAATCAAAGATGCTTGGTAACAAGTTCAAAATCCAAATTGTGCTTTTAATGTTGGCTGACAGTGGTTAAGTGTTCATCAGGTCATTTTATAACATTTTTAGTTTACCATTTTGTATGTTAAACAAAGTGTTTGGTGGTTATTTGTCCTTCAATCTCTGTTATTTTCATTGTACTATTGTAATAATGTTCTATTATTATCAATTGTACCTTTGTTACAAGCTTCTTTTTTCTTGAGTGTAGGGTCAATTGGAAAAAACCTCCAATGTGGTGGTAGGGTAAGATAAAGTCCATTAACCTCTCTGCTTACAATATGGTGGTCAGGTAAGATAAAGGCTGCGTATGCGCGACCCCATGCTGTAGGATGACAGTGGGTACGTTATTGTTGCTTTTTATTGTGATTCCTAATATATTAGTTTTTACAGATTCTATGTAAATCATATTTCTGCTATTAGTAATTTGCAGAAGCAAAGTACTTGACGGAGAAGTAGTAATTTTTGAAGAAACATTTGAGCAGCTGAGTTTTTATGAAGTTGAGACTATGTATTGGGTCAATTTGCTTCTCAATTATCACAAAATTCCTCTACTTCTAAATTATTGTCTGAATCAATCAACTTCTTCTGTATCCTTATAATTATTCTTTAGCAAGTCTGAACCTTGAGCCAGCTACATGTTGAAATTTATTTTCCCAGAAGAGAATTCAAAATGTAAATGTTGGGCACGGGCCATACCTATCTAGTAAATAAATAAGTGATGAATCGTTGAATTTAATATCAAGAAGGAAGATATGTTTTAATTTTTAAAGACAGAATCAAAACATAGCATTTATGTATGCACCAAAACTACAAAAAGAAAAGGTCATCATGGCATGTTAGGCAGTAGAGAGGATCAGCTAAATGAAGTATTACAAGATTATATAGAACATTTGTTTTTAGATGGTCATGTCATGAAACAGAGCATGACCACAACTCCAGATAAGCGTGACAAATTTTAGCAACATAATGCAGAAAAAAGCAACAAGAATAGATTTTGAAAACAAGGCTAGTCATTTATTTAAATTAGCCAACATAAAAAAAAATCATTGCTATATACATATATATATATATTGAATACAACCTAAACAAATTAGAATAAGAAGTTAAACTCATAATCATGATTAAAATCAAAAGGAACATGTGTTAAGACAATTCCAGATAAAGCAAATTGAAGTAGCAAATATATAGATAAGTGAAGTCATAAAAAACAAAGCTTTTACAAAAAATCGATTCGAAATAGAACAAGTTACTATGGAGGAAATGTTACCGGAATGGAAGAGCGATTCCAGAATAATATCTTCTCTATGTTTTTTTATATATAAATTCTCATGGTGAGAAAGAAAAGAAGAGAGCTGCTTTATATAAAGGGTTCAATTCAAACGGCTAGCCGTTCGATCTTAAATGTTTTTTCACAAGTGTCTGGAGCACTCGCAATAGCCTCGCCCTCAAAAAGTCATTTGCATCAAAATATTTAATTGCTGATGTATTACATAATCATAATTTTCTTTACAAATTCAAAGGTATTGTATGAGAATATGTTCTTTTGCTTTCTGACCCAACCCGCTCAATTATCCCCCTAATGTTCATCTACTTCCTGAAAATTTGAATGTGAACATGTTCTTTTGTTTGTTTAACTTGATTGTTAATATTTTTTAATAGTATTAAAGCAACCAAAACTTTTTATTTTCATCATTATATCAACCATCCAAACAAAGTGTGATAGTCGATTTCAATTCAATAGGCCTTTTTATAAATGATGTTATGTTTCGAGAAAATGTTATTACTTGATGAAGAACTCAACCTGTAGATTAACTTGCAGATTAGTCATTTGAGTACAGAGAGGGAGTCATTTACAAAGCAAATATATTGACGTTCCAAATCAACAAGTTGATTACAGAAGAATATAATGGACAAAAACTGAAAACAAAAGATTATTTTGGAGTTTGTATTCCCTTAACAGTGGAACACAACTGATTTACATAACAATATTAAACAGTTGAGTCACATTCTATAGCTACCCTCACAAATTGCCTCAAAAAAAGTTGAAGAAATAAAATACATCATCACTCCTGGAAGTTGACATGTCGCGCTTTTTTCGCCTGCATCCACACAACCAATAATGAAAACTTTTTAGACATTTTCGTTCTCCGATTATTAGTAAAGCTTTTTGAGAAAACAAAAAGATGTCCAACCTCTTCATTGTTTAGACGACTTTTGAGCTTGGTGAAGGTTCTTAGAAAGTTCCAGTGTTGATGGCATCAGCGTTAGCATCTCCGAGAGCTGCCTCTTTAAGATAGGTTTCAGCCAACTGGACTCTCTTGACATTCTCTTGCTCTTGAACAAGCATGTTACCATACTCAAGGAGCTTCTCAAGGGTCATTTTTGGTTGCTCAAAAGTTGGGGGTCCATCTCTAGAGTTCAAAAGTTTTTCACCAATGAGTTCAATTCCAGTTCCTGAAACCCATTTCCTCACTTCATCGTCATATACTCGTGCCCTCAAAGCACCAAAGAAATCTGTTTGTTATCACAACAACAACAAATGATCAGTTATTAACAAAAAGACTCAAAAAGATAAATTTTCATTTTAGAATTCTTTAGTGTTTGTACCAATAGATTGTCCAGGGAAGGAATCGACAATCTTTACAACAGCTTCCTCAGGGACGTTGTCAGTTCTGAAAATACCCTTGCAAACACCAATTCTATCCTCCCTAGTTGGTGCCCAGTAGAACTTCTCCATACGACCATCACGGATAAGAGGAGCATACAATGTGGAGAAGTCGTTACCAGTGACAATAATGGGTACCCTGGCGTTCTCTTGCTTGTTGTACATACCAGGGAGCTGGACATTTGTTGGGTTGTCAGCAATGTTCATGAGGGTGGCATTCACCATCTGGTTGTTGACGGTGTATTGGGTAGTTCCACCCATTCTACCAGCTCCTGCATCGAGATCGTTGATGAAGAGACAACACATGTTTCCTTTCCTGATGATTTCAGCTGCCTCTCTGTACCTTTGCCTAATCAATTTAGCTGGCTCTCCTGCATTTCCACTTTCCAATTCTCCGGCACTCATCATAATGGGGCTGCAACACATCTTAAGTTAGTAAGAGCCCATTTGACTTAACTAATAACTAAACATATACAAAATACTCACTTGATTCCCATCTTTCTGAAGACAAGCTCACATTGGAATGATTTACCTTGACCTTTGCCTCCCCATACACCCAAGATGAGTGGAACCTATAAGAAACACAAAGTTCAACTATTTTTTCAACCACAAAAAAAAAATGTATATGTTTTAACAGACCTTGATGTTGGGCAATGTCAAGAAGTTCTTGGTGATGTGAACAACAAGTTTGTCCATGAAAGCAGGAGCAATGTAGAAACCGTCCAATTTGTTGTCCAATTGGTACCTACACAAATCAGGTAAAAATCAAAACTGAAAGCAATGTATGTGTGTTTCGTCAAATAGAGTGAGTAATGTAGTTACGTTTTAAGAGCCTGGCTGACGTATTCGTAGGAATTCATGATGGCGTGGTGAGTACCAGTACCAGTAGGAGCCTGGAAAAGACTGTCAACCAGACCCTTACCCCTTGCAATGTCCTGTTGGTCATCCGATGTGTTATCATAAAGACCCTTCCATCTGTCCTCTTTCGTTTCGTCTACTTCTTGAGCTACAATCCTCAAGTTCCTGTTTGAAACCTTGGGGCCGGAAACACCTTTTGCATACACTTTTTTCAAGGATTTTCCAAAGAAGGCGGTGCTTGGAACGGAAGTTCCAGCAACTGAGTTGTTCAAACTCAACTGCACCAACAATGTAATGTTCCCTTAGTAAAATCCAACAAACATATTCATGACAAAAGTTTAGAAACGGAACACTTCTTGATGACTGACTGTTTGGGTGGAGCTACGAGTTTTGTCGAACCAACTAACCATGGTCTAAATAGGGTATATATCTTATAACAAAATTCATTTTATATTTACAAAAAAAAAAGCTAGAAATTCTGAACCCTTTAACTTCAAATTCTGTCTCCCTTATTTATTAAGATAAATAGGTTATTAAGAGTAAAATAATGATAAGTTTGAAATTAATGAATCTCCAAATATACAAAAATATGTCCTTCCTGACTATGATATATCAATAGAACCATATATGGCTTCTAGGACTAAACACCCCCAATTTTTTCTTCTTTTTTTTGGCCAGTTCTCCAAAAAATTCAATGTCCCTATATCAAAGAACCCACAAAAAAAAGTCTTAATTCTAGTTACTACCCGAAATTATTAACATGATTAATAGCTACTATTTTCACCCTTAATTCTTCTTTAATCATACACAACTAAAGATGTAAAATTTATATGTGGCTACCAACAGTTGAGATAGAATAATTTCAAGATAAGATACATGAATCTTGAACTATATAGAACTAAAAGACATGATAATTCAGTAAACAAATTGACATGTTTAGGAGAATTTGATGAGGAAAACAAAAATAACACATACTGGTGCTTTGCTGGCAGCTCCAATGGTTGACACTGAGGCAGCCATTCTTGATGACTAAAAAGAAATTGATGAAAAAAGCTTCCTTGATTTGCCTTAAAAATTTGAAAAAAATTGTTGATGAAAAAAAAGTATGGGAAGAGATAGGCTTTATAGTAGTAGTTAGTTGTAAGGAGTGTGTGGGAAATAAGTGTAACAAAATTATGTGGATTTGGCTTGCCTTTACTCAATGGCCACAAATTGAAGATTGGTTATCTAAGGGTGAGATGTGAAGGTGACTTGTAATTTTGGGCATGGGCTTTTAATTCCTTATTCTTTTAAAAAATAAAATAAAATTTGAGACAAGTATTGAGAAATCGCTCTGAATTATGAATTTTATTTTTGAATTATTAACATTCTTAAAAAATCACTATGCTTGATTAATTAAACTTAAATATACCTTTTGATCTTGCAACATGAGTTAAATACGGCTTAAAATTCTCGTCAAGTTTAGGGGTGTTTTAATACTTTTCTCTATTTTTATTAAGAGTCTCATGATTCTACAAGAGTTTGAGACAACTTGTTATGTCATGTGATAGATTAGGAATGTATTTGAATTTGGCTAGTTAAATAAGCTGTCCATAATTTAGAAACGAAATTAATAATTTGAAAAGTGTTTTTAATATATATATATATATATATATATATATATATATTTTCTTCTTTTACTTGCTTGGATGAATGACTAGATTGAGTAACAACAAAATATGTGTGGCAATCACTTTAATATGAGGTTAGATTTAAAGATGTTTTTTCCTCCATAGATGTAATTATCACTTTCTGAATGTTGTTGGTGTACTCCTGATGGATAAGGAGAATCTGAGGCTGTTATTGGATCATTTATAAGAAGTCTAAAATATTATATGAAAATTTTGGTTTCTTTTTATTATACTTTCTAAAAAAGGAACTAATTTAGGAATAAAGAGATAAAAATTGGGAAGAAATTGGCAAATAAGCATAGCTTTTTTCGCCTTATAATTAAGTTTTAGTCAGCGTTTTGATACTATCTAGTGTTTAGCTATTTTTACTGTAGAAAATATTTTTGATAAAAATATCCTAGTTAAAATAGGAAATAAAAACTCAATTAGAAGACTTCTAATTGGAGATTCAATATTTATCAGGTTGATCTTTATAAATCATTCTTTAAGTTTCAATTAACAAGTGTTAGAATTATAAATTGTGAATAGTATTTGAAACTTCAACATATTTTCACACATAAATTAGAAAAGTTTGAACCTTCACTTTAATTTATGAATAACCATAGTCCATATATAAAAAGCTTGCACATAAATGGAAGAGAATTTATTACTAGGACCAATAAAAATTACCACACATATCTCGAAAACATACGTAGTTAATAGGGTATAAAATTCTCATAATTTATCTTCCCTAGGAGATGGTGTAAAGGTACCCTCATATGCAACTTATCAAATTATATCTTAAGTTTCACATGGTTTTTTTGTCAAATTATTTCCTCTAGGTGTTCTCTTCCTACTTAATAATGGCAATAGAGTTGAAGACGTCTAAAGTAGTAGTAAACTTCTACGTCATATTAATATCAACTACTTCTACTTGTAATTATCATGATTTTTTGCTAAATTTAAGTGATGGATCTTCTTAATAAAATATAGTTTTACATTTAAAAAGAAAAATACAATTTGAGATTTGAAATCCTACTGTTGGGAAAATCTTGGAGGCACAATTTATTTTTCCTTTCTCATTCATCTTTTTACTATAAAGAGTTCTTCGTTGCCTAGATTTGAAGTCCATATCAACAACACCCTCCCTACTAATTCAAACCCTCTAAAACTTCGTTGTTAATCTGCAGATCATGATTTCATTTTTAATGATAAATGAATGCCGTGTAGAAAGTTTTTTGACCTCTTTGCACTTCGAGTGAAACTTAATCTGCAAACCGTTGCAATGCATTCGAGTCATTGTTGAATTACTTACTGTCAGTCTCTGCATGCAAAAAAACAAGTAATGTTTCTCATTTTTGAACTAGCTAGAGACTTACTTTAGTCCTGAATTGAGACTGTCAACTCCTTGATGCCTGACCTGGAAAAATTTAAAACTCTCAACAACTGAAAGCTCAATATATAGAACATCTTTGGATTTTCTTGTTGCGTAA